TCATGATATCCCATTCAGGATGTGAGCACGATACCAGCACCTATGACCATATCTCACGGAAATGCTCCGGATATCAGATCTCATAAGCTAAGCAGAGTTGAGCCCAGAGAGTGTTTGAAAAGGTGACCACCATCCATAACACCGGTGACAGAGGCGATGTTGTGTTCCGCAGAGGGCATTGCAGTAAAATCAATTGTTGTACTGTGCTCTGCTCGCACACATTATGCTCTATGCCTGAGTGTGCATAGCTATGCACCTCTGGACCTGAGTTGAATCCCTGTCCATGGTTAACATCAGCAGCGAGCGATATATGAACCGGGCACTCTTCCCCGTCACCAATCAAGAGTCCCCTGCCCCTTCAGCAATCCGCATTGACCAGGTTGGTGAAGTTTGGTCAAACAACAACAACCTCCATGAACGGCGCGGCGTGGGAGAGGCGTTGACTTTATTTTTGCCAGATCTTTAGGCGTCTTAAAGTAGAAGGAATGCTTCATCCTGAATTTTTTTTCGACATGAGTGCCTTCTGTCGGAAAAGTTGCAATGGGTGGGGGGGGGGGGGTGAGGGTGGGCGGGGTGGGTATACGTGATGCTGAGAACATGCCCATCCATCATTGACTCTGCAGGCTTGGAGCACATGGACCCATCGCAAGGCAGGCTCACAGCTCCACTTTCATTCTCCGAGCGGGACTAAGCAGCAGAGGCAAGCGTGTGACTCGCACATTCGCCACGCTCAACGCTCTTCAGCCGTTTGACAGCTGGCCAGGAGCAAAGCGCCGCCGGTATTTAAGGCGAGAGGATGTGGACGCAAAAAAGGCATGGGTCGTATTAAAAAACGCAACAAAAAAATACGACTTTTATTTTGTACCATGTAAGACCCACTGAGCTATATAGCTCTTTTGCAGAAGCCATCTGGCCACACAAATGATAGGTTAACGAAGTGGCTCATCATCATGTGGAAATTTACAGCAGTCCAATACTCTAAAACGCACGTTGATTCTTAACGTGGAGGGAAAAACCGGAGGACCCGGAGAAAAAAAATCCACGCAACTACGGGGAGAGCGTGCAGAATCGGAATATACAGCAGGCGTCAGGGTCGGGATCGAACCCACGACCTCCTGTAGACCAGGCGAGGTAGTTCACATCTCGCTACCATATGTATACAGTATGAGAATACGGTGTACACGCAGAGAGTTAAAAATACGCGATTATGTTATTATTATTAGAAATGTGTATCCCGTTGATATGAATGTGTCGCTACGGTAGTGAAATGCCGTTCTGTACTCCCCCGACGTTCACCGCACTGCGCTGGCAAGCGTGGTGAGCTATGGTCAAAAAACCCTCAGGACCCACAAGGCGTCGGGACGACCACATCCAGCAACAGATTGACAATCTGGCTCTAGACGTGCGTCATTGTAAACTGTAGGCTGATACCGCTGGGGACGACGCAGTGCGGTGCAGTAGTTCACCTCCTGCGCTATGAACCCGTCGACCCGACTTTGATTCAGTGTCGAGTGATATCTGAACCGGTAGCGGCTCCCCCACCCACTCCCCCCCCCCTGCTTCATCACGAATCCCCATGGGTCGACAACAGCGTGGGGAGAGAGCGTCATCCGGCAATGGATCGACAAAGGGGTCGTATGTACAATTATGATTGTAGGTAACGCAGGTGGCTGGCTCAGCGGGCTGCCAGAGCATTGAGTCGCCACAGACAAGTGGATGGGTTTATATCCCTGGAAGTTCTCAAGTGCAGTGGGCCTGATAGCCCCCGCGTAAGAATTTCCAATGAACACGGTTAATTTTAGAATTTAAGTGGAGCATGCTTACTCTAATGATGACATGTGCATTGATTGGATGTGGAATGTGGGTGAAAGCAGGCCTAACCATAATTCCTCTTTCGACTCTAAAACAGGAACATTGCCCAAAATTACAGCCTACCCAATGGTTTTCTCAAATTTTCCGTCACAAGGCAGATTAACGCTGGGAGTGACTTTATTAACGCTGTCTGCACACCACCGCGGACACACACTGACCTAATTTTTGGTCGTCTTTTTCAGACCTCATGAAGATGTGCCAGAGACAACGCTCTGATGTCTATTGCGGGGCGGGGGGGGTCACACCACTGCGTGCAGTCTCTCTGCTGTTATCGGGGAATTAAACGAACGGAAAAACAACGCCTCCGAGAGCACATGTATGTATGGTACGGTGCCAACCGTGTGTGGTATCGAGTCAAGAGGATCAAGGCTCATCTCTCATGGTGAGTCAAGAGCCAGTGATATAAGTTCAGTTTCTCCATACAACAACCACGTTGTTCATATTCTTATTTTATTCAGCCACGTTTCACTCTGCATGAAGCAGTGCTGATATTGCTGCTGGGTGAATCTCTGAATGGGATTTAAAATCTCAATTTGCTGACCGTTAGTCGAGTCATGTCTATTCAAATGCTGGGTAATGGGCTCCCCACTCGGTGTCGGTCACGGGGGGGATGCTTGACCATACTTCCCCATGCCGGTAACTTCATGTTGGTGAAACCTGGTGGTGGGGGGGAGGGCAGCAACGATTCAGGATTTCACTCCCCACCGATGCTAGCCGTGGCCTTGACAGGGATGTGAACTGGCGTCCTTCTTGTTGGTTGTACTCAAGGGCTCTCTCTTACAGCGCCACCCGTCCGCATACAGGAGAAATATATTTTGTAATAAAATCTGTAAAAAAAATATTTAACAAAGGAATGTACAGCCAGCAAATAAATATACATCAAAGGGGTTTGGAAGTTTTGGTATTCATTAAAAAGGCCCCTTTTTGCCTGTCACGGTCCCTAGCACGAACAATTCCACTGCCGTCATGAGGCGTTCCGGGGCAAGAAAAGAGTTATGAGAAGTTCAGGAGTGATGATACTTCACTCCCCCCCGCCGGCATTTCAACAGCCCTTAGAAGCGGGACACCTTTAGAAATTGGCACTGCAGTGTCGAGGCTCGGTGCAGGTTGCAGTGCTCGTACAGCTATTTGATTTTTTTTACTTTTCACACGCGTCACATTGCAATTGAATTTTGTGCAAACGACGCGAGGCTTTCTTCTCCCTCCGCATACATTTTCCTCTCTTTTTTGCAAGCAGTGTGAACTATTGAGTAAAAATCACTTGAGCGGTTAAAAGGAAAGAAGCTTTTCCACGTGGAAATACTTCTCAAGGAGAACGTCACATTCCAACAATGGTCCGACTCGAGTTAATAACCCAAAGGAGAAACGGTATGATAAATTTAGGGATTAAACGCATGCCTCTGATGACAACCAAATGGGTGGATTTATATTTTATATCGGGCATATCTGGGCAATGGGAGAGAACTGCACTATGAACCCAGACAACTGAATTTGATTCCCGGCTATGGAGGCTAACATGAGTTATGAGTGATTTTGAAACCCTCCTTACAAACCTTCTTTGGCAACCAGTGTGGTGAAGCAAGGACAAACAGCCTCCTTGGCCAAGACGGCGTGGGGAGGCCTTCACCCAGCAGTTGAATTGACCATCGGCTGTAAATCTTGACTTATAGCTTTCGTGACTGCAGGAATTCATATTCTTTGGGTCTTTCGGTAAAGTTACGTAGATAGAACAATTAAATAATAAAAATGAAAATAAAGTGAATAAAAAATAATAATACAAAATAATACAATTCTCACGACGTTTGGATCGCAACACAAGCAATGGTCATCAGGTGAAACGATTACCGTACTTGTGTTGCGATCGAAACATCGTGATATTTATTTTTTATTAACTTTATTTTCATCTAGATTTGTATTATTTTATTGTTCTGTCTACGTGACTTTACCGAAAGACCCAAAGAATAATCGGCAGTACATTATCTTTTTTTATCATTATTTGTGATATCACTGTAGCGAACTTTCAAATGAAACAGATCAATGCTCTCATATTTCCAAATTGCTGTACTTGATGTTTCACACAAAATGTCAGTGTCACTTTATACGGCCAACGCAAAGCAAGGCTTTTATCTGCTTCCTACTACATCCCCACTGTTAATTTGCAGCCCACAAAGGTGAACAAAAACAAGCCTGTGCCTAGGTTACAAGTGTGTGTTATTTTCCTATTTGTAAGGTGTGAGTGAGACTCATTCACCCTCCACACTTACTGCATCTTGGGCAGGTGTGAGTGAGACACATTCACCCTCCACACTTACTGCGTCTTGGGCAGGTGTGAGTGAGACACATGCACCCTCCACACTTACTGGGTCTTGGGCAGATGTGAGTGAGACTCATGCACCCTCCACACTTACTGCGTCTTGGGCAGGTGTGAGTGAGACACATTCACCCTCCACACTTACTGGGTCTTGGGCAGGTGTGAGTGAGACTCATGCACCCTCCACACTTACTGGGTCTTGGGCAGGTGTGAGTGAGACTCATGCACCCTCCACACTTACTGCGTCTTGGGCAGGTGTGAGTGAGACACATTCACCCTCCACACTTACTGCGTCTTGGGCAGGTGTGAGTGAGACACATTCACCCTCCACACTTACTGCGTCTTGGGCAGGTGTGAGTGAGACACATTCACCCTCCACACTTACTGCGTCTTGGGCAGGTGTGAGTGAGACACATTCACCCTCCACACTTACTGCGTCTTGGGCAGGTGTGAGTGAGACACATAAACCCTCCACACTTACTGCGTCTTGGGCAGGTGTGAGTGAGACACATTCACCCTCCACACTTACTGCGTCTTGGGCAGGTGTGAGTGAGACACATTCACCCTCCACACTTACTGCGTCTTGGGCAGGTGTGAGTGAGACACATAAACCCTCCACACTTACTGGGTCTTGGGCAGGTGTGAGTGAGACACATTCACCCTCCACACTTACTGCATCTTGGGCAGGTGTGAGTGAGACACATTCACCCTCCACACTTACTGCGTCTTGGGCAGGTGTGAGTGAGACACATGCACCCTCCACACTTACTGCATCTTGGGCAGGTGTGAGTGAGACACATAAACCCTCCACACTTACTGCGTCTTGGGCAGGTGTGTGCCGTGAGGAGCTGCGCGGGGCTCCTGTTTCCCGGGCAGCAGGACGGACGCGGCGGGGGCGGCGGGCACCGAGTTGGCTGGGGCACGTGGGTGGCCACCGCGGGACGGGGACAGGTTGGCCACCTCGCAGCTCTGGCCATGGAAGCCCGGCCTGCAGAGGCACAGCTGCGGCCGGAGGCACATCCCGTCGTTCTGGCACGGAGGCGCGCACACCGCTGTGCAGGCAGAGCACAAGGACATGGTTACGTATCTTCAAATGGTTGTAAGGCATCTTGAATATCTGTGCATCTTTGAATAATTATCTCTCCCTTGTATCAACAAACTTGTGGATGAAGGTTCCCCCATGCCGAATCAGTCATTGGGGCTGCTGGACAATATTTCACCACACTGGTGACGCAGGTCCTTGGATGGGGAGAGGTTGGGGGGGCAGGATCGACTCCGATATAATTCGCCACTCATGAATTGAACTCAGGTTGCAAGATTCGTAGTGCCGTGAACAATTCACTTTACTGCTGTTCCGCCTTCATGTACATACAGGGGGGACAGTAAACATATTCTACGTAGGCTCAAGTTCTTACCTGGGTAAATAAACTCTCCGACCATGTCGCTCTCTGACTGCATGTGACAACAGTTAAATCTGCTGGCAGACCCCGAACATCTCAATGTTGACGAAAACGGCAGTACAAGATACCTTTAAAAGTGGCAGTGGACTCAACAGAGCAGTGCATACCGCTGCGTTAAAACAAGGACTCTCGCCCTGCAGACTCGAGACTCAATGCCAACGTAGATTCCGCGGATCCATTCTGGCCAATCATTTTCCAATAATTAGACCTCATTCGGAAATTCCAAAAATCGCAAGTGTAGATGGTCTGCGCTCCGAGCCAAAACCTAATTTCTAATCCAGCAGTGTACTCCTGGCACTTCGTAGACAGTGACTGCAGCTTGCGAATTACACTGTATAACTTTCAGGTTTTTATATGAAAATTTTATCCTGGGCAACGAAAAAGGTTAAAAACGGTGGGCCTGCTTTTTGTTTGCCCTGCGTACGAAGCAATTTCCTTTCATCCCATTTTCAAACAGGAAAACACTGCAGAGGGCAGGCAATTATACAAGCGCCCCAAGTGTACAGTATTACTTTCAAAGGTCCACCACGTGGGGCTTCTTGCTTATTTAACTCCCATTGGAAATTACGGGGCCAGCTGTCCTCTCTAATAGAAGCATTCGCGATATAAAGGAACCTCCGCATCACGCCAAGCGCTTGCATTATTACGGCACCGGGCTGTACATGTTTATAATAACAATTCAGAGCGCGTTGTCAATGCACCGCTGTATGAAGACGTCTCCGTGCCACGCCAGTCATGGGGGTTGTTTCATTATTCGCCACTACACAGGGAGCTGCGGGTTGGTGAGGGAAGGTCCCAAGACCAGATCGGTTATCACTCGCCACTGACATCTGCCTTGGCGGGGAATTGAACTCCGAACACCTGGCTCCAAACGCAGTGGTTAGCGTGCCACATTATCCACTGCACCACCACTCTACTCGGCCATACATCTCGCAGTCCTTTGTCAATCCACTGCTGGATGAAAGTCTTCATTTGTCTGAGTTGGTCACGGGGGTTGTTCTGCCATGCCTCACCAGGCTGGTGAGTGTGTATTGGTGAAGCAAAGTCCCAGGACCAGATCGGATATCACTCGCCACTGACGTTATCCATGGCCGGGCATCTGACTCAGGTCGCCGGGTTCATAGCGCAGCATGCAAACCGCTCAGCCACCATTCTACCCATTGATAGATTCCAACAATATTTCAGCTGTTTTGGCTTTCCTACATTTATTGTGAAGCCAAAACTATAGCTGCTATGCTTTTGTGCATTAGACTGAATATCAAGAACTGTGAATTACTGTATTTTAAATAACGTACCTTGAAGATTGAGTCTTTTAAAACATTGTACTGTACTGTGTCTGCCTAAGTATTGCTTTTCAGATACAGTTTTACAACAATTCCCTTTTGTTAGTATGACACAAGGAACGTTGTATATTCTGTATGGCTCAGACAACAAAACCCTAAGTGATGATATATAAATAGCAGGGGAGTGGTGGCACAAGGGTTAGCACACTACACCTTGAACCCATTTTTTTATTATGTTTTCTTTTTATTATGTTTTATTTGTATTATTTTATTACTTCCCTTCTACGTGACTTTACCGAAAGAACCAAGAGGATGAAAACCTTGAACCCAGTGACCCGAGTTCGATTCCCCGCGAGCGATACATGGACGAGTCGTGGTCTCCCCTCCCTTCCCCAACCTGCCACTGACCAGGGTGAGCGAGTCCAAACAACGCGCACAATCAGTACGACATAAGAGAGCCGTTATCCAACTGTGGCTTTACAAAGGGCTGATATTTGATATTATTAATATTCAAATAGCAAGGTTGTAATACGTATCTTTTCTCTCTCTCTTTCTCTCTTTCCACAATCTACTAGTAACTCACACGGCCTTTAGATTAGCAACCCGAGGCATGGTTGTCCCAACAGCAGCCCTTCTTTCAACAAAAGCTACATTTCAACGGAATGCACCGAGCCACATTCTCTCAGAAAAGATGGTGGAGAATTTGGTAAACCCACGGTATGCAGTTAAATTGGGCACACACATTTGCAACGGACATACCCAACGTGTCACTGTGCGTGTGTGGTTTGTTTGAGGCTGTACGGGGGATATTTTGTGTTAGGGAGCAGTGGTTTAGCGGTCAGCGCACCTCGCTACGAACCCGGCGACCCGAGTTCCATTCTCGCTCACGGCCAACACCGGTGACGATTATCTGAGCCGGTCATGGGCCTCTCCAAGGACGACTCAGCGTCAAATGAGTACCTGGTGTGATGTGTAAACATCGCCACTGGGGAGACAAGGGCGACCGGGCGTGGTGCTGGCCACCCACCCCCGCGTGTGCCGTGCCGACCTGCATAAGTGCTCGCAAACAGCACTTGCCCCAACAGTCTGTTCATATCTTGACTTGATCTTGATTTAAAGCTCTCTGTTCGTAGGCAATACGGGGGTCTTCGTCTTTTATGGAGTGCACTGGCCTATGGACCCAGTGGCTTGAGCTTGACTTTTAGGCACAATTACATTAATCCTATCCTGGGTGTCCCCAAGGTCGACTCACCCTTAAATACGACCTGATATGGTGTGTAGTCAGGCTTTGGGACTGACCATGCGACCCCATCTTGTGCAATAGCAGACAAAATAGGTGCTAACTCACGGAACTTGCCCCCGGGGTTTATATGATTAAACTGGGGATCTCTGTCTTTGTTTTTATATGTCAGTGTGTGTTTGCCAAGAACACTTGTCCTCGTGGTCTATAAGGCTAAGCAGAGGATTATCTGTAGTGTCTACGTAGGCACACATATGTATATTTATACATGCATGGTACAGCTTTAATGAATGTTAGACATGTACACAGCAAAGGCCAAAAACATATTACGTATTATTTATAAGACGAAGATTTTAATTGCTTAATTACTTAAGTGCATGTATGCCAGTTGTAACCACATTAATATATATGTAAAAACAACAAAATCGGGGGGCATGCATGATTGGATTAAAAAAACTTTTTTGAAGGACATTTTTTAAGAACAATGTCCCTCCAACCAAATCTCCCCAAAATGCTTCCAACATTTACACCATTGGAACCTCATTTGCCAGTAAAAAATATGATAATTGGTTTTTTTTACCCTTCTATCTGGCAACAAAAATGACACCTTTTTTTTACAAGGAGTCATGTTTACATAGACCACAATACCTGCGATCATAATGCAACCCATGTGAGACTAGGCTCTAAGGAAAGCTGTCTCGGGTGTGGACCAATCAACTTCAAGGACAGTGCACATGATCAGAGTTATGTTTTTTGTTTGCATTATGACCGCAGGTATTGTGGTCTATGTAAACATGACTCCTTGTAAAAAAAAAGGTGTCAGTTTTGTTGCCAGATAGAAGGGTAAAAAAACAATTATCGCTTCCAATATTCTCAAATCTCACGAGCTCTAAGCAAGCATGACCCTAGTGAGACATTCCTTAGCGGGTGACCATCAGGTCTTGCCATTGGCTACGAGGTGGCCGAGAGATGGCTGTGCTGAGTGTTCCACCCTCAGCATGCGTCAGTTTTAACCTGGGGCTCTGGTTCACCTCCCACGCGCGAAACACTCATTATCATGATTTGTTTGGCGAATACCACTAATTATTGCTATTCGCCAAACAGCCCAATGCAGGACCCTCCCGCGAACGTGTGCCTTGAGACCCAATGAAGCTCGTCTTGGGAAACAATAATTATAACAGCGATTGGTTTGGTTAAGCATTTTACCAGGCCACCCAAAAGAAAGGGGCTTTTAAGCGTCATATGGCCTCTCATGGTTATAAATAAATAATCTGTCTGATAAAAAAAACACGGTTATATGTTAACATTAGCTATCCCAGCTGCATATACACAGTATCGTGTTCTAATTGTGTTAAGCACATGTGTTCATGGAAGGGTTATTTATCCCTACACTCATAAAGGCAACCACAATGCACAGAGGGCATTTTATAATATCTCTCACGGCGCCACCAGCTGGACTCGAGGAAGCACAGTGCACACTGAACGTGGCGTCTGAATTGTGCCTTTTCTCGTGGCAAGGCAGATACTCATCAGACTCGTCATTAACACTGCCTTCAAAGAGTATATCATAGGCGGCGTTTGGGGCAATTACCCCTCCTCTCTGGCTACGTGCTACGATGACGGGCCATTGCCTGAAACGTCGCCTACGGCAGTGTTACCGACGAATGTGTGTGCGTGTTATTCGTGCGCCGCTCGCCAACTTTAGCGGTGTCACCAAATCACGTGCGTGACTCACGGTAATAATAGTAGCAGGGGTAATGATCATAACAAAAACAACAACAACAAAGGAATGACAGACCGCGGGGGAGCAGCGCCACGGGAGCGAGTGTCCATTGCGACCAAACCCCAGCACGCGAGTCGCTGAGCGCAGCGTCAACAGCGCAGCTCCGCGGGGTTCAACGCGCGCCCCAAATCAGGCGCCCGATGCGTGTCAACTCTCAACGGGAGTCCAGCCTCGAAAATGTGACCAGTGGAACCCCTGTGAAGATGATGCGGATCGTAACACTTTCGTGTCTTTTTCTTTCTACAAGACAAGATTGTTTATGCGCGGTGCCATCAAGAGCCCTTTTGCAAAATCAGCCGCCGCTATGAGAGCTTCCCCACGCAGTGCACCTCCGTGGAAGTTGTTTGACCAAAGGGGCCGTCCATAAATGACGTCACGCGATTTTGGACGATTTTTGACCCCCCCCCCCTTCGTCACACGGCGTCACAAAAAGTCAGACCCCCCCCTCAAATATGACGTCACAAAGCTCTGCCCCCCCCCCCCCCCACAAAATAAAACATGCTTCAAATCGCTTTAAACTATTGTCATTGTAGTGCGTATTTAATGTGCCGCTGCACTCTGATGTTGTAGGAGAAAACATTGATCAAAAAGTCTATTTAATTAAGTAGAACATGTCTATATTTATTTAAAGTTGCGCACTTTTTATGTGACGTCACATTTCTCACCCCCTCCCCCCGTCACACATCGTCACAAATGTCTGACTCCCCCCCCCCCCCCCCACTAGGTGCGTGACGTCATTTATGGACGGCCTCATACTTCACTACGCTGGTCACTGCCGTACGGGTATGTGAAGGCGGGGGAGCAGAGATGCGTGAGTATAGAAGTCCGGCCTCGTAGGGCAACTGTGTTTGTCGCAGTGCCACCTGCTGCCACAGCGCGACTCGCCGCCGCCTGTGACAACTCGGCTGTGCAAGGTGGCCACGGCGCCCTTACGAGCCCTGTCCAGGCCCAACCTGCTTAGCTTGCGAGCTGTGAGGGCCATAATGAGGCAGCAATTAATCCGTGTATGTGAATATGCGTCGGCCGAACGTCACACCGAAAGACACGCAATGAGCAGAGATTGAAACCGTGCTCATATCTCGTGTAGGGCCCTGAGCCAATTCTAAGTCATTCCACGTTCCTAGGGCGGGGCTCAGTCTTTCCATAGGACAACCACTGTTGACATGCCGGCGTGGCCTCCATGCAAGTTATAATCATCATCATTATTTAATTATAAGTCACACAAATGCACACGAGTAATATATAAGCGAAGTTTTAAAAGCGAGGCATGTACTATGCCTGCATTTCAAATAAGGAAATATGTTTGTCTCGCCCAGAGATTGATGGTATGTACTGGGTAATGTCAACGCAATGTGTGAGAGTATTCGTGTTCGACTTGATGCTTATACCATGGAACCACGCTGTGTACCCCACGTGAATGAAAATACACACGCACCATAGCGATGAGATCACAGGTCAGACACACATTTGTTACGTGTACGACTCGCCTTATGTGTATCACTGGATATGCAATAAACCTCTCTCCATTGTTGCGCGTTAGGGTGGAGCGGTAGTACAATAGTCAGCCATCTGCGTTGCCAACTTGAATCCCTGTGTTCGATTCCCGGCCATGGCTAACTATAGACATCAAATTACGAGTGATGCTTTGTCTGAACCTGTCTTGACCCCCCCCCCCTCTTTCACCAATCTCGCACGGACCAGCGTGGTGAAGTATGGTAACAAAAAAAAAGCTCTATGAACGAAGATTGTGGGGGAGAGGCATCCATCCAGCAGTATATTGGCAAAGGTCTCAAAATCATTATGTCGTTATTGTTGCTATAGATGCAATGATCGTGGTCACGTTCAAACGCAGCCGTGGAACTGCAAGCGAGCGTGGCTCATTCAACACGTGACTCTAACCGCGCCGCACAATCCTCCAGGACATATTTTAAATTCTGTGGGATTTGGTGGGTTGCGCTCACTGCGCGCTCTGTAAACTGATGTAATTTAACGTTCAAAGATGACATCAGCGTGTGCGGTCAAGCGACCTTTCCTTATATAAACCACGCTTACATGAATAGTGAAGGGAGGTTGTGTATCTTAGCATTGCTTTAACCCGCCAGTGGAGGAGACCCTTCTATCAGCAATGACGTGAGAAAGCGATTTCAGGGCTGCGCCTATACATTGTTTTTTACGTTTAACTACATAACAATATCATGCATTTAATCATGAAAGGTTTAAGTAAACTCAATATTATAGTGTATTGACTCGTGAACGGTTCAATGAGACTCAATATTTACGTATTTTTCTGGAGGAAACCTGCATTCGGATGTTTGTTCTTTCGTTTGTCAGAGGAAACAATCGTGACCGGGAGAAAGCCCACCTAATATCCGCACATACAGAGTCACTGATCCATTGGCGTGCTGGCCACTTCACACCGCAAACCCCACAGCAACATCTGGTATTGTATTCCCAGGCAAGTAGTGACCAGGCTCAATTTCTGAAAAGCTACCGAGGTCCGAAGATGTATGGTCACGAAACGAGCGTTCCACTCACGTTTGTTGCACTTGTGCAGAGCGGCGTTGAGCGTCCATCCCGGACAGCACTGCCCACCGCACACGTTCGCTCTGTCGCACATCCAAACCAAAAGCAAAGATTCCCATGTCGAGCATCTTTTTTTGCAGAGCGTCACGCAGACTCCCGGTCATCCTCGCAGCGGCTTCTGGAGCACCATGGAACAGAGACGGCCACTGGCCCCACGCGCTTTCAGACGCGCTTCTGCGGCTGCCTGGAGCGCTCCTCCTTGCGACATTGCGAAGCCACTGGATCCACTGGAGCCACTGGAGCCACGCACTTTCCCATCATCTCGATTGAAAACTCACTTCTCTAGAACTGCGTTTTGTGTTTAGTTTGTTGTCCTTCCCCCGCACCTCCGATTAGCACGGTTGGCTACGTAAGGTGCGAAAAAGGTTCAACATGCACACAGTCCGTAACAGACTCGGGGCAAGTCTTGTTAGCGAGCACCTATATGGAGGCCGACACGGCAAACGAGGGGGAGCTGTGGACAGCAACCACGCCCGGCCGTCTTTGTCTCCCCAGTGCTGGTACGCATTTTAGGCTGAGTCAACCTAGGTAAGGCCCAAGACCTGTTCAGATTATCGTCACCAATGATGGTTTGTGAATGGGAATCGGCATCGGGCCGTCGGGTTCGTAGCGCAGTGCACTAACCACTGCACCACCGCTCACCGTCTTTCTCGCAACACACGCGTGTTAGCATATCATCATCACACACTGCATCCACACCCACACACGGTGTCATCACATCAGCACTCACACACACCACGTTTACAAACGTAATCACGCGCGTCTCATCAAATCAGCACGTACCGTATCCTTAATGCACTTAAATACAGTCCACATCAATACGCTGTACGGACTCGGCAGTTTGAACATTGGGAAACTTCCTTAAATCTCTCCCCGCCTCTCTCGGCCTTGGGGTTGTAAATGGGCGACTTTCTCCGTTCGCCGATCGGAGAGGTCGCGTGCGTTGGGGTAAAGTGCGGGGTTACCCCCCGTGTCTTCTAACAACGTCTGCACAACGCGGAACAGTGAGTGGGCCATACACACTCAAGTGGAGGCCCTTCCGCCAGCAGTGACGCGAGAGAGGAAATTGCAGGGGCTGCGCGCGCGTTTATCGCACCCGTGTAGCCATCACGTCGACACGGACGGCTGCTGCTGTGAGCACATGGGCTGTGTCGCACGCGTGGTCCACACCTTCCCCGCCAGCCTCGTGCAACGCTTGCAGGCTCGAGGCTGTTTGTAAACCAAGTTTGCATTGCGCGCACAACGATACTGTGCACTTACGTTGTGTGTAAATTATATACTGTGTGTATATATATGCGTGTGTTTTACATGCATGCACAAATTAAGCGCATGGGGCTAAACGTACGCGAGTACGTCGCATTCAATGCATCGCTGATTGTCTCTGCTGTTTGAGGGTTAAACATCGCGCGCGCAGTTCCGCGAAGCGCGCACGTGCCCGCAGCGGTCTCTCTCGGGCGAAACTTTTCACGCCGCAACTTTCTCTCGCTCCTCTCGAATCATTACCCCACCCCCCACCGAGTCGTCCTATCTGCAGACCACAGCGAGCCCCCCTCGCGAGTTAAAATCCCGTGTACATCACCACCAGCGATTGTAAATTTAAAGAAAGGGGGGGGGGGGTGAACGGCTCGGGCGTAATGTGGCACAATCAGAAGTGCGCGGCGCGGTCTAAACAAATCGTGCCACCACACACACACACGACGACACCGCCAACAACAACATTCCCTTAACGCGCACGTATAGACACCACGCTGCACAAATACAAAGACCCCCCCCCCCCGCTGCTACCCCTATAGCTTGAGCAGACTGTTGGGGCATGGCACACGAGGGGGTGGGTGGCCAGCACCACGCCCGGCCGCCTTTGTCTCCCAAGTGGCGATGTTTGCACGCCACACCAGGTACTCATTTGAGGCTGAGTCGACCTAGGGGAGGAGACCCAGGACCGATTTAGATAATCGTAACCGGTGTTGGCGCACCGTGAGCGGGACACGAACTCGGGTGGCCGCCCGGTTCGTAGCGCGGCGCGCTGACCGCTACACCACCGCCCCCCCTTGCTACACACACAGAGACACCGCTCCCCCTTGCTACACAGAGAGAGAGAGAGAGACACCGCTCCCCCATGCTACACACACAGAGACACCGCTCCCCCTTGCTACACAGAGAGAGAGAGACACCGCTCCCCCTTGCTACACACACAGAGACACCGCTCCCCCTTGCTACACACACAGAGACACCGCTCCCCCTTGCTACACACACAGAGACACCGCTCCCCCTTGCTACACACACACAGAGACACCGCTCCCCCTTGCTACACACATACACAAAGAGACACCGCTCCCCCTTGCTACAACACAGAGACACCGCTCCCCCTTGCTACACACACAGAGACACCGCTCCCCCTTGCTACACACACAGAGACACCGCTCCCCCTTGCTACACACAGAGAGAGAGAGACACCGCTCCCCCTTGCTACAAACACAGAGACACCGCTCTCCCTTTCTACACACACAGAGACACCGCTCCCCCTTGCTACACACACAGAGACACCGCTCTCCCTTGCTACACACACAGAGACACCGCCCCCCCTTGCTACACACACAGAGACACCGCTCCCCCTTGCTGCACACACAGAGACACCGCTCACGCGCCCTACCCAGTGAGTGGAGGGGCCACGTGCGGCGCGGCAGCGTTCCGCTTTGCGTTCCCGTGCGCTCCCTGCGGCGCCGCCCTGCGCGCCGTCGCCACCCCTCGCCCGGCCGTCCCCGGCGCCCTTCCGCCGCCGGCCGGGTTCGCCTGACTCTGGGGTCCTCCCCTCGAGCCGGTCGCAGTCCCGGCCCCGGTGCCCGCAGCTCTCTGGCTCGCGGCCGCCCGTCCTGCAGATGCGGCTCTGTGCGCCGCCGCCAGCCTCCGGTAGGGTCGGTGAGATGCCGCGGACGGCAACGTGGACAGCACGAGAGCCGCCAGCACCAGCACCACGCTGCTCAGCAGCAGCAGCGCGCGGGCCATGTCTGCAAGCCGGCGGCGAGGCCGGCTTAATGCAATGCAGGCGTGGACGTGCTCGCTGCGCGATGAGCGGGGCTATATGCTAGGGACGATTGCCGTGCATGCAATTTGAGAGTTCACAACGCGAATCGCAAATGAGAAAAGCTGCGGTGGTGCGACTTCTTTAGACGAACAAAACAAGTGACCGAAGTTTGGCAAACGCCGGCGGGGAAGATGAACGCGTGATCTCGCGCTACAGTTCACAAGTTGAAATGAACAAATCTGGTTCAAGTCACTGTCATCGCCTATACGATTGCAAGTATATCGTCGTTCACTCTGCTAAACGTCAATTACCTAGAGTGTCTCTATAAGTTCGCTGGGGCGTAGTTGGGTGAGCTCGAGGATTTTTTTGGTGTAAATTCTCAGGCGGAGCGGTTCGCCCGTGGTGCGCAAGGGGTGCGCCAATGAAGTTGCTCTGCGCTCCTCCACTCTTGAACTCCCGTGGACTTGGCTCCCAGCTGAATGAATGATGACGCACAGGCAACTGCTGGCACAAAAGAGAGAGGCAGGCAGAGAGGGGAGAGGCACGGTAGAGGGAAAACGGGGAGAGCGAGTGGCGGGGATGAAGGGTGGGGGTACACGAGGCTTCGGTTTGGAGTTGGCGTGCAGGGGTGGTGAGTGGAACTTGGCGAGTGGTGCTCAACCCGCCCCAGAGTCGTCGCCAAATCTGAGCCCCTTGCTAGACGTGGGGTGAGGACGACATGCTTCGTGAGCATTAAATACTTCCAAACTCATGGCTCGTTGTCTACGGTTTTTTTGACGCTGAGTTTTATTTGCGTAATAACTCTTCAGAGTATTGTCCGCTGGTGTGCATTGCGGATCGTGATGTGTGCTCGTCAGCGTACTCGGCAAGTCATCAGCGTGTGTACTTGGTCTGACACACTACAGTACGACTCGGTAGCGTCGTCCTACAATGCAGCAACTTGTGGAGTGATGGGTCACACAAATGAATTATCACCGGGAGGTCGCTCCATCTCTGCTGCTGCTGCTGACACTGAGTCTGGAACTTGCCTCCCAGCAGCCCTCCGTGTTGTCGACTCTCCTGCCTCCCTGCTCAGTCGAGACTCGAGGTCTTCCTCCTGCCAATACCGAACCTTACGAATATAAACATGGATATGTGTTCGCTTGTGTGCGTTATCCGTGTTTGTAGTGGTTCCCTGTGATGCTCGCCCTACAGTTTGAACGGAATCTTGGGAGACAGCAGCATTTAAAGAGAATATATAATACAAAAGGCATTGCATAATGCGCGAAAAACCTTACGCTGCTGGGCTGAAAAGTTGCCAGGAAATGGCAGTACAGCAAATGGTTGTGACCTGTCTGTACAGATGTTCAGTGTTTTCACCTCATATGCTTGAGGTCTTTCTTGAGTACTCCAGTTTCCTCCCACATGTAAGATACTCATCAATATCGGTAGCCATGGTCGATCCACTGCTGGATGATAATTGCACTGCCATCACCATCTCTCACGATCATGCAATGTTATTATGTAGCGAGCATCTTATAACAATCCATAGAGGTTTGTGGGTTATATTGCGTAAATATAAACGTGTCGTTAAATCCGCCACCACACGACACAGCCAATTAGTAAGGTTTGTCACGTAAACAAAACACGCTCAGCACACCAGTGTGTTGCAGAGTAAACCCACAACATTCACAATTACACACAAGCGGTGTGCTGAACTAGTAACGAATTGGCATGTTTTGTTACGAGACAAACCTTACTAGTTTGCTGTGTCGGGTAGTGGCCGGTTTAACGACGTATTTATATGTATACGTTGTAACCCAAAAGCCTCTATTATGGATAAAATTGGCCGCGAAAGCCTACGTGTTAAACTGACCTTCTAACACGATGATTTTAATCACTCTCTCCTTGGTGAACTTTGATGCGTTTCATTTACTTTTCTTAACAATTTGAATTATGTCATTAACCTGCCATTGTTCTCAAATCCATGCCCCTCTTTCTATCAGGGCAATGTCAAGCTTGCATTAATGAGATGGAAACGGTGAAACGTCTCATTGTAGGATCCTCACGAGAAAGTGTCTTGGAACTCGGTGTGGGATTTCCTAAACAAAGCGCGTATCCACTGTGATGTGTAGCCTTGCAGGTGTGGGCCATGTAGGCATACTTTCACAAGCTGTAGCAGCAGATTCAACAGAGCAGGCTTGACCATGACCCAGGCACGTTATGCAGGGGTTCTCATGGCCGCTTTGGGGTTTCAGGGGATTTAAGTTATCGTGTGAAATTTTATCCTAGCCTGGGACAGCTGATTTTGAATCCAATCCTTTGTGAAGGTCAACGATGATTATTTTCCGATTGCTTGAATTTTCATCGCACGCACCGGGCTGAGATTGGGGTATGAACCATACATTTGTCCACTTTGTGAGGCCTGGATGGAGCTGAAGATAAACACGACTTCACCGTGGAATTCCTCTACTCTCACTTCAAAGGCAACATTTCATTTCGTACAATTAGGTAACCCTAACGAGCGTGTTTTCAGACAAAGAATTAGCTTGACAACAGCCAAAAACACAGCCTTTTGTCATCATCTTGAATAGCCTTGTTAGCACAGGATGTATATAAAACTGCAGCTGTGCATTTCAAATATTATTTACATTAAATGATTTATACACATACACTACGTGTATGAGTCCACGTATGACCGAATCAGCCGGAATGCGTCTGATCCCGCCATATCTCAGACGCAAATCAGGAATTGAGCATGAATAGTGCTTCGAGGGGTGACCACCATGTGTAGAATAAGTTGCCTTAGGTCGCTGAAGACGCGGTCCGCCTTTGAACCGCAGGTGCTGCCAACTATTACACCGGTGGAAGATGAAAAGCAGCCCTCTGCATTGGGACTGTGGCTGTAAAAGCCAAACTGTGGATCGCATCGTCCATAAATGCCCACTTCACTCAATCCTGGGCAGGGCCTCAAACATTCCCACCATCACTCCCGCAGCCCTCAACTGACTCACCAACCTCAGTATCAACATACACAGTTGCTCATTACTCTCCCGTATGAAAGAAGATAGGTGGCTGTTGGGACATGGTAACATCTCTGCTACCCAACTTTACAGACCCGCACTGAGCAGCTTGGCAAAGCATAAGCCCAGGAATCTCCCCGACGTGCACGGAGTGGGGAGGCCCTCGTCCTGCAGTCGATTGACTCAAGACCTGTACGTATTTGTGTCCACATCAATATATGCCCATGTGCCAAAGGTTGTGTTCTTTTGCGCAGCAATGTTTTCAAAGCACATTCATATGACCCGCACACAAATTAGAAAAGCCAATATTCAAGCGATGGGGGGTAGTAGTGGCACGATGGTTCACACACTTCGCATCGAAACCCGGGTGGCTTGAATTAGAATTCCCAGCCTTGGCTAACATCCTTCGGGTGAGTGATATCAGAACTGGTCCTGGACAACCTCCTCCACCAATCTTGCACTGGCCGCAGAATGTTCAAACACCCCCAACCCAACCCACCCCATGGGCCGACAACGACGTGAGGAGCCCTCCACCCGCAGCAAGGGCAACTGGCAGACGGCTGCAAGTTATTATTTGCGCCGTGTTCACGCAACGCAAACGACTTCAATATAAATGTGAACACGTCACGTGCTGTCCTTGACTTTAGTGAGCGACCCAATATCGCATCGGACGTCCTTGTCCCAGCAGCCTGATGGATACAATAAGTGATTTGCTAAAGCGCCTCTGACGCAGATCAGGAGCGTTACCCGGTCTTGGGTTTCATTGCTCACGCGGCACATGACGAGGCCACGAGCTTACAGGTTCACGCGAACGAGCAGAGACAGTTGCAGACCACGTGGCGACGGGGTGGCCCGGGTGAGCTCGGGGAGAGCATTCCACTGCAACCTCATCGCCCCCCCCCCCTCAACTCCGCGGTGGTCCGGGAGATTTCAGTGCAGCAATGGACTCAAGGCATCAGTGTGGGGCTTGTGAGTGTTACGGGTTTCAAGGTACGTAATCCAAACTCTTTGGTTCTTTCGGTAAAGTCACGTAGGTATAAAATAAATCACGACGTTTCGATCGCAACACAAGCGGTCGTCCTCAGGCGGAAACAATCTCATCCAGCAGTGGAGCTGCTGAACTAGCGAGAGAGCAGCTACAACAAGAGGCGATAGATGTGGCGATGGGCAAAGCACTCGTGGTTGGCCACCCCGGGGGCTGTAAGGTAGCCAGGAGGTGGCAGGACAGCAAGCGGGCTCATGAAGCCTGCTGCGTATTGAGCCCCGTGTGTGATGCGCTGCTTTTCTCTGGGTGTTCGGCTTGCCTCCAACTTGCCACACACCCGATGGCTGCGGTTGACCCAGACATCGCACAAAAAGCAGCACCCCTCCTGAAAACAAGAGTCTGGACACGTGCACATTTATTATTATATTTATTACCGCACTATAATTGTACTTCGACTGCAAAGGCGGGGTTTGACTTCGATATTTTGGTGGGGGGGGTGGACAGGGATTCGCATTGTCCTTCGCATAAGGAATCACGGGTGTATTTATATATAATGTCATTGTAAAGTGCTGAAAATAAATGGTGTCCAGTATTGGGGGGGGGGTTGCCCACCCGTGCCCCCCCCCCCCTCGCAAACTCCGCCCGTGAGATGTACAACCCATCAAACTGATCCCAATGCGACGGCGTTAAAGTTCTGTGTGGGTACAGGAAATTAGGGAGCGGTAGTGCAGCGGTCAGCGCGTTGCGTTACTCGAGTTCAATTCCCGCTCACGGCCACCAACACCAGTGACGATTTAACCGAATGGGCCCTGGTCCTTCTCTAAGTGGACTCAGCCTCAAATAAGTATCCTGGTGTGGTGCGTACACGTCGCTACCAGGGAGACAAAGGCCGACCGGGAACGGTGCTGCTCGTGAACAGCACTTGCCCCATGGTATGTTCACAGCTATCGGGGGGAGCTTTGTCTGTGTATGTTAATGCGTGCTGATGAATGTCCTCAATACCCCCCCCCCCCCCCCCCCGTTTCTCTCCAACTGGCCTCTCTCTCAAATGAAAATGAGGTCCACTTGTGGGGTGGGATGGGGGTGCGTTCTGCCCCGGGCTGTCTGCCACAGCAGCAGAAGAACAGCAGCCAGCAGACAACACACGCACACAGCCACACACAGCTACACACAGCTACACACAGCTACACACAGCTAATTCTAGATTTGAAGCTTAATGACTGCAAGGATTCATACTCTTAGTTTTTTCGGTAAAGTCACGTAGGTAAAAAATAAAATTACAAATTACTAAAAGTAATAATAGAAATAAAATAATAAATCACGACGTTTCGGAGGCAACACAAGTCTACGTCATCAGCTGGGACTGTCACAGCCAGATTTACTGTATCAAGTGAGGCAAAGATTCCAAGATACAAGTTCTTAAATACAAGTTAAGGGGGTAGGAGGGAGGGAGGGGCTCATCTGAATGTGGTAGCCAATGAATCGAACGTATTGGGAGGGGGGGGGGGCTAAAAGAGAGTGAATGTGGAACTGTTGGT